AAAGCTGGCTGAGTGGAAGTTCCACAACTAGAGAGGTGAAGAAAGCTCATTGAGACTGGTCAGAGGTGCAGAGGCACAGAAAGTGCTGGCACCTGGAAGTGCTGTTCTTTAAACCGGGAGGTCCATACAAGCTTCTGCTTGCTCTGAACTCCAGTTTCTGGCAAGACTCTGGGGGACCCAGACACATACGGGGAGAAACTGGACTGTCTGGCATCGGGACAGGAACACGAGGGCGGCTTACTCGTAGAGGTGCTCACAGTGGCCATTGTTCCTGCATGGGTGCGCGGGGACACAGAGCCAGGGACTTCGATTCAGGGCAGCCATTGCTGTTTGCTCCACCCTGGTGATTCCCAGAGACCCCGCCCCACCCAATTTACAACCCCACCCAAGCTGTGTGCATCGGCTTTTGCATATGAATGGCCTGTCCTTTCACCTAAAACAAACAGCAGCTGGGTCAGAGAGCCCCAGAGATTCCAAAAGCAGGCCCAAGGCCTGGCAGCAGCAGCGGCCTTGCTTCACAGCTGGGCCTCGTCTGGGCACTTCCAAACCCCATACAAAGGAAGAATCTGCAGATGTCTCTGTAGCTCCTGCTGGGTGGCCTCAGACAGTGGCTGACCTTGCACCTCCTTGGAGATCCAAGAGCCAGTGTACCCAGTGTTCAGAATGAGACCATACCGGATTACAACTCTTCACATCCATAAGAGACACACTCAAGGAGCAGACTCAGTGAGCACCAAAGCCCCACGAAAGCAAGTCCTGCCCCATAAGGGTGTCTCCTGTGCAACAGATCTTCCAGTGTAGACACAGCTGGTCATCACAGCCAATTGGCCTGGAGGTCAGTTCCTCCTAGTGATACCAACAGCAATCAAGGGTTAATTACAAAACTGTGCAAACAGCCCACAAAAGGGTGCACCAAGAGCGTCCATCTCAGGTGACTGGGGAGGCTGAGCCACTGGGCCCAATAGGACACCAACCACATAAGGCCACTCTATAAACTCAAGGAGACTTAACAGCTACCCAGTGCATAGAAACAAACACAGGGAAGCAGCAAAAATGCACAAAGAAGTCACAAATGAAAGAAATGGATGAAAGCAAAATACTGAAAATAGAGTTCAAAACCACGGTTATAAGGTTACTCAAGAATCTTCTAGAAACCTCAGAGAAATTTAATGAGACCCTCAAGGATATGAAAAAGGACCCATCAGAAATTAAGCATACACTGAGTGAAATAAAGAATATACAGAGATCCAACAGCAGACAAAAGGATCCCAAGAATCAAGTCAAAGATTTGAAATAAGCAAAAACATCCAACCAGAAAAGCAAAAAGAATTCAAAAATATGAAGATAGTGTAAGGAGCCTCTGGGACAACTTCAAAGCATACCAACATCCAAATTATGGTGTGCCAGAAGAAGAGAGAGAGCAAGATATTGAAAACATATTTGAAGAAATAATGACACAAAACTTCCCCTACCTGGCGAAAGAAATAGACTTACAAGTCCAGGAAGCGCAGAGAACCCCAAACAAAAGGAATCCAAAGAGGACCACACAAAGACACATCATAATTAAAATGCCAAGGGCAAAAGACAAAGAATATTAAAAGCAGCAAGAGAAAAAAAATGAGTTACCTACAAGGGAATACCCATACGACTGTCAGCTGATTTCTCAACAGAAACTATGCAGGCCAGAAGGGAGTGGCAAGAAATATACAAAGTGATGAATAGCAAGAACCTACAACCAAGATTACTTTACCCAGCAAAGCTATCATTCAGAATTGAAGGTCAGATCAAGAGCTTCACAGACAAGAAAAACTAAAGAAGTTCACCACCACCAAACCAGTATTATATGAAATGCTGAAGGGTATTCTTTAAGAAGAGGAAGAAGAAGAAGAAAAAGGTAAAGATAAAAATTATGAACAACAAAGTGACAACAAATACACATCTATCAACAAGTGAATCTAAAAATCAAGTGAATAAAAAATCTGAAGAATGGAATAAACTGGTGAAATAATAGAATCAGGGGCATAGAAAGGGAGTGGACACAATTCTCGGGGGGGTGGGGGAAGAGATTGGACAAAAATCTTACACCTATGGACGAGGACAATGGGGGTGGGATAAGGGCATGGGGTGGGTGGAAACCCGGTGGAGGGCAGCTATGGGGGGGTTGGGGGGGAAGAGGAACAACTGTAATCTGAACAATAAAGATTTATTTTTAAAAAACCACATAAATTGTGAAATATAAAACATGAAATTTATTCGAAACTTCCAACCACCCCTTCCCCGGGGCCCCAGGGTGACATTGCACCTCGCCCCTTACGGTCAGGTCGCCACCCCACGTGGACTCTGGCGGGCGTGCTCCTCCCATTTGCCTCTCTTGGCCAGGCCTCCGCCCCGCCCCCAGCTGACCAGCAATAGGGGCCGCAGTGTTTTTCGGGTGCACCTTTGTCGCTTTCGGCCTGGACTTTGCGCTCTTGATCACTGTGCCTGAGGACCCACTTCGTGTCATCATCCTGGTCGCAGGGGCATTTTTCTGGCTGGTCTCTCTGCTCCTGGCCTCTGTGGTCTGGTTCATCTTGGTCCATGTGACCAACCCGTCAGATGCCCGGCTCCAGTATGGCCTCCTGATTTTTGGTGCTGTGCTCTCTGTCCTACAGGAGATGTTCCGCTTTGCTTACTACAAGCTGCTTAAGAAGGCAGATGAGGGGTTAGCATTGTGAGTGAGGACAGAAGATCACCCATCTCCATCCGCCAGGTGGCCTATGTGTCTGTTCTTTCTTTCGGTATCATCAGTGGTGTCTTCTCTGTTATCAATATTTTGGCCGATGCACTTGGGCCAGGTGTGGTTGGGATCCATGGAGATTAACCCTATTACTTCTTGGCATCGCTTTCCTGACAGCAGCCATCATCCTGCTTCATACCTTCTGGGGAGTTGTGTTCTTTGATGCCTGTGAGAGGAGACGGTACTGGACTTCGGGCCTGGGGGTTGGGAGTCATCTACTGACATTCCTGATCCCATGGTACGAGGCCAGCCTGCTGCCCATCTATGCAGTCACTGTTTCCATGGGGCTCTGGGCCTTTATTACAGCTGGAGGGTCCCTCCGAAGTATCCAGCGCAGCCTCTCGTGCCAATGGCAGAAGGACAGTCAGGTGATGGTGTATTCTGCCCTGCACATCCCACCCGATGATTGAGGGAACCTTGGGGGGGGGGGGGACCCCTGTGCCTGGGGTGATCTCCTGATCTCCTCGCTCTGTATTTTTCCATCTGCAGTTCTGGACAGTGCAGGTGGCCAAGAAAAGGGGCCTAGCTTAGCCATTGCCATGAAGGTGAAATTAATGGTGGTGCAAGGTTAGATGAGCTCTGAGTTTCACCGCCCCAGACTGGACTTCTTGGTCTTTTTCTCATGTCTGAGGGGAACCCATTTTTGGTGTGATAAAGACCCAAAACTGCCTTTTCTTTCCTTTTTTTTTTTTTTTTGAGAAGGAAAAGGGAGAAGGTATGTTGGACTTCTCCTAACCTCCTCAAATTGCTCCTTTTAGCTGGGCTCATATCTGTCCCCTATTCTCCATGGTCCCAGGCCTTGGGGGATAGGAAGGACATGCATGTTTGGGAACTGGTATTACTGGAACTAATGTTTTAACCTCCTTGACCACCAGCATCCCTCCTCTCCCCAAGGTGAAGTGGAGGGTGCTGTGGTGAGCTGGCCCCTCTGGAGCTACAGTGCCACTGAAGGAGCCAGCCTACCATGACATCGTAGGGAAGGAGGGAAGATTTTTTTCTAGTTTTTAATTGGGACTGTATGGGGCGGGGGGGAGGGTTTTCTATAAACTATCATTTTCTGCTGAGGATGGCGTGTCCCATCCTTTTAATCAAGGTGACTGTGATTTTGACTAATAAAAAGGACTTTATAATTGTGAGAGAAACTTCCAACAAAGCAGTAGAGTTTTATTTCAGCATTCTTTGGTGTCATTGAAATTTGACCTCCTTCCTCAAGAGTTTGTTACAAGCCTTGGTCACAATGTGAGGGACTTTCTCCTTTATTGAAAAAGGTATGCTTTTTTTTTTTAAGCCTATTTTTTATTTTCTGCTTAAAAAGCAAAACGGCTATTTTCAAGGTTTTCTTTGTGTTGACGCGACTCAGGAGAAGTGGGCCCCGCTGGCTGGCTCGGGGATGCTGTCTGGGAAAAACACGAGTGCTCTGGGCCTCGCTGGCATGTGGGCCTGGCTTCCCGAGGCGAGGTGGCCTCCACGCTGGGTAGTGGGCCCTCGGCCCCATCCGGAGCTCTGTCACTCAGATCTTAGTGACAGCAGATTTTCACTTTCGACGTCTTAGCAACTGAAGACAAACAAGAATATCCATAGTGGGGGAATGTTGGGTTTTGGAGGGGAAAATGGGAATGCACCTAATCACTGAATCGGAGTAGTGCCTGCGTGGTTCGGGCGTGGCTCAGACTGCTGTCTGACCGTGGTTGACCAACCCAACTCTTCCTGTTTGTTTTCTATTAAAATTAGGGGAGTTCGACAACTCTGTCACAGGCCTGCTGTGTGCCAGGTGATGATTTGCTGGACTCTGAGGCCTCAGAGATGAAAAAACATGGTCTCTCGAAGATGTTGAATTAGGAGGGAACAGGCTCTGAGACCTGTGGCGGTTACCACGGTGACGGCAGTTATGGTTAAGGAGCCGGGTCCGAGTCAGATGCATGGCTGGGAAGAAGGGAGCCCTGGACAGTCGCAATCCATTTCTGCTCCATTTCAGGTTTTCCTTGGAGCTTCACTGGGTGTCTTAAATGCAGCTTCTGATTCCCAATGAGAGCTTTTGCATATCCAACAACCTGTAAGTGCAGTGTCTACTGCTTACTCATAGACCACAGCTTGACCCAGGGCCTGAAGATAGGCAGCTTTGCCTCCTCAGGGAGTGAGTCTAGCACTGTCTGCCTGTCCCGGGAGGTGCAGCCTGGAAGGGAAATTTCCACAGGACCTGCCCATGAGCGTTCATTTCGGGGCAGAGGGAGGAGGAGTTGGCTTTAAATCCTGATGTACATTTGGTGCTTACAAATCTTACGCAGTTCTCGTCACTGTATATTGAGAGCTGCAAGGATTGAAGGAGAAAAGGTGCGCACAGTGCCAGCATGTAGTCCATGTACATGTCCCTTCCCAAGGGCTCGCCCTCCTCTTGAGGGTCTAGACTCCCGGAGCCTTGCTTTCCTGTGTTTCCAATTTGGCTGCTGCGCTGGAGCCCTTGTTTTCCCCAGTGAAAGGGGAGTGGTGAAAGGAGCTGGAAGTCTGCTGTCTGCCCACAGCCCGCAGCGGGTTCGTATGAAAGAGGGAGTCACAGATATGTGAATTCGAAACGGTCCACGTGGAATTTTTTCATTAGAGTTTTCCAAATCCCCTAGTCCCGTGGTCGGCAAACCGGCTCGCGAGCCACATGCGGCTCTTTGGTCCCTTGAGTGTGGCTCTTCCACAAAATACCATGTGCGGGCGTGCGTACAGTGCGATTGAAACTTCGTGGCCCATGCGCAGAAGTCAGTTTTCGGCCTAGGCGAGTCTATTTCGAAGAAGTACTGTTGATATTTGGCTCTGTTGACTAATGAGTTTGCCTTCCACTGCCCTAGCCCCACACGGGGAGTTGTTCTGGGCGGTGCATCCTCACGCACTCTGCCCGAGGGCCTCCCGTGTGGCTTCCAGAGGGCAGACTGTGCAGCAAGGCTTCGTTCACGCCCTTGCTGGAAGGGGGGGTGTCAGGCATGACTAGAAGGCAGTATGTCTGCTTTTTTAACAAACGAAATTTTCTCACATCCCAGTGACTGTTGTCCTTCAAATAAGCCCCTTTAGACAACTGTGCTATCATGTTTCAACCTTCAGAGCTTTTCAGGAATGACTTTTGGGTTGACTTTCAGGAGCCAGGAGTATAGTTTTAACTCTGGTCAGAAGTGGCAGGACTTGTCCGTTAAGGATGGACTTTTTACAAACAAAATTCACTTGGGAGTCAAGACTGGTGAGGGCTGGTATTTAAGCGTGGAAAACAGACAGCACGATAAGAGGATGTCTCCCAAATCAGTCTCTTCAGGTCGTGTGTGGCCTTGGCATCACTCTGAAGAGCCTTCATGAGAAACCATTGGATTTGACGCATGACCGACCAGCTAGAGACAGGCTGTCATTAGCTCTGGATTTGTTTGAAGATCTGACCACTCTGTCTACTCAAATGTGAGTCTCTGGAATTGGAGCCGTGTGCAGTCCTGCTGGGGACAAAAGACCCCAGGAGGCTAGCCTGGGTGCCAGCTCCTGTGAGCCTGGGGGATGCCACACTTGCCCAGTCTCCTGCCCTGCAGGCCACAGCCCCACATTGAAAGTAGGAGCTGAGGAAGAGGGAGGGTGACAAGAAATAGTAGGCATGAGTTGCCATATTTTTTAAAATATATTTTTATTGATTTCAGAGAGGAAGAGAGAAGGAGAAAAAGAAACATTTATAATAAAAGCATAATCTGCTAATTAGGCTGGACATCCTTCCGGACGAAGCCGGGGCTGCAAGGGAAGCCTGAGTCCCAGGTGCCAGAGGGAAGCCAGTGCCAGCAGCCAGGGAAAGGAAGGCCTACTCTTGCACGAATTTTGTGCATCGGGCCTCTAGTCAATGATAAAAGAGAATCATCGATTGGCTGCCTCCAGCATCCCCTACACTGGGAATCGAACCATGACCTCCCTAGTTCATAGGTTAAAGTTCAACCACCGAGCCACACTGGCCAAGCATCATATTTTTTGTTATTAGCCATGTTCCCTGTGATCCTTCCAGGGAACAGGATGGCTGGGGATGGTGTGAGAGGGGTGGACTTCCTGCAGAATTCTGTGCCCCTCTGATGAGAGCTCTCCTGGGGTGAGAGGGAACCCAGATGTGTTGAGAGACACTGCCTAGCAGGGTGGGTGGTGGGCAGTGGCTAATGAGTGAAACTCAGGACCCGGGAGGAAGAAGCAAACGGGATGTAGGAGGTTTAAAGCTTGACAGACAACCTATAAAATTCACAGTAAAAAAAATCAAAGTGCTTGGGAGTCCCCTCCTGAGATGAAGAGTCTTGATTTGGACCCATTGCCTGTGGTGTCATGCCTGTGGTTATGTTACATCAGGTGCAAGAGGGACTTTGAAGATAAAGCTAAGGTTGCTTACTGATCAGCTGGCCTTGGGATAGATTGTGCTGGTGAAAATATCACCAGCATTGCCAGAGGCCTGATGCAATCCCAGGAGCCTGATGCAATCCCAGAGCCTGAAGCAGAAGTCCGGTGAAGCTGAGAGGACTGGATACACCTGCTCTCTTGCAGGTGGAAGGCACCGTGTGGAAAACCAGAGGAAATGAATCCTGGAAGTCAAATCTGTCCCTGAGGCTCCAGAGGAGCCCAACAGAGGCACACTGAGCCCAGGCTGCTGACAGAAATGGGAGATCTATAGTGTACCGTCTGAAGCCACTAAATTTGTGGTCATTTGTTATGGCAGCAAATAGAAAGCTAATATGGCCACTTTCCCAATGAAGATTATATCCTCCAGCCCAGTACTTCTCAAACCTAGCAGGCCTATGACTCTTCAAGGGATCCCGTTTAAACTGCATATGCTGATTCAGCAATGCTTGGGTCGGGCCTAGGATTTTGCATCCCTAACAAGTCCCCAGGCGCTGCTGCTCGGAGGACCACATTTCAGCATAAGGCTCTTGTGTGCCATCATGGTCTGTGCAGGCCTGGAATTCAGAGCCAGGGCAAAGGCTGCAGGAAATGGGAATCGGGGGAACAAAGGCCTGGGACAGGTTCTACTCAGCTGTGAAATACCATTCAAAGGTTGAGAAGGAGTGGCGCCCTCTGTTGGTGGGCCCCTGGCCTGCAGCTAGATGAGGCAGCCCTGCACAGCAAGCCAGTATGGACGGGGCGTAGTCATGGTCTTTGTGGCCCTGTAGGAAGACAAGGGCCTGCAACCACGAGTCCAGCTTTCTGAGGATAGTGTGGTGCAGGCATGACCATTAACAAGGTCCTTACCAGCCCCTCCTTTCTTCCAGCTAAGTAAAACGTGTAAGATATTGGAGGGCACTGCCTGGAGGTGTAGGGCAGGCACCTCTTCAGTGAAGAAAGCTGTGCGAAGTTGCTATCAGTACTTATTGAGAAGAAATGGCTCAGTCGGGTTTGGTTTGTTTGTTTGTTTTAATGTTTATTGAGCACCCAGTGTGTACCAGGCACTGTACTAGAGCTGGATACACTGGGTACCAAAACAAAGATCCCTGACCTCCTGGAGCTTGCACCCAGCAACTGCAACCACAGCGAGCTAAAGCCATTCTGGTGGGCGCGCTGAGTGGCAGGCGTCCTCTCTGCTTTTACCAGAGGGCAGTGGCTCTGGAAGCTAAGTGCTGGGGCCAGAGGAGGCTGGTGTGCTAGGCCACAGGAGGGCTCGCCTTCGGTCCCAGGTGCACTGGGCTGGCTCGCTGCCAGCAGTCAGCAGGTCGGTGAGTCTCTCTCTGAGGAGACAAGTTGCAACTGATCGTAAATTCTTTTGAGGCGGGAGCCACCCAGAGGGATGGCAGTAACCATGCCTGCCAACACGATCTTCAGGACACTTGCTTTTTATACGCTAAGACAATAAAGGATTGCAGAAGGCCCGTCACATCCCAACAAATAACTCCAAAGGACAAGGTCAGCTGCATGGCAAGCAGCAGTTAAAAAGCCATGTTAGCTGGAAGAGGATACTGTGATGTTTACAGGTGTGCTGCAAGTATACGGGATTTTTAAATTTTTATTGTTGTCCCCCCTTTACAGACCTCCCCCTTCCCCCCTTCCCCAATGTCCCCCTCCACCCGGTTCCCACCCCACCCCAGGCCTTCATCACCCTACTCTGTGTCCATAGGTAAGATCTTTGGTTAATCTCTTTTCCCCCCACCCTCGTTCACTCTGAGATTAATCAGTCTGTTCCAACTTCCATGCTTCTGATTCTATTTTATTTTCACCATTTATTTTGCTCATTTGATTTCTTGTTTATTTTGATTTTTAGATTCAGTTGTTGATAGAAATGTATTTGTTGCCATTTTATTCATATTTTTAACTCCAACTCCTCCTCCTCCTCTTTCTTCTTCTTCTTCCTCTTCTTGAAGAATAGCCTTCAGCATTTCATATATTACTGGTTTGGTGGTGATGAACTCCTTTAGCTTTTTCTTGTCTGTGAAGCTCTTTTTTTTATATAATATATTTTATTGATTCCTCACAGAGAGGAAAGGAGAGGAATAGAGAATTAGAAACATTGATGAGGGAGAAACATCAACCAGCCGCCTCCTGCACACCCCCCACTGGGGATGGGCCCACAACCAAGGCACACACCCTTGACCAGAATTGAACCTGGAACCCTTGAGTCCGCAGGCCAACGCTCCATCCACTGAGCCAAACCGGTCAGGGTGTCTGTAAAGCTCTTGATCTGACCTTCAATTCTAAATGATAGCTTTGCTGGTAGAATAATCTTGGTTGTAGGTCCTTGCTATTCATCACTTTGCACATTTCTTGCCACTCTCTTCTGGCCTGCATGGTTTCTGTTGAGAAATCAGCTGACAGTCGTATGGGTACTCTCTTGTAGGTAACTAACTGCTTTTCTCTTGCTGCGTTTAAGATTCTTTGTCTTTTGCCCTTGACATTTTAATTATGATGTGTCTTGGTGTGGGCCTCTTTGGGTTCCTCTTGTTTGGGACTCTGTGCTTCCTGGACTTGTAAGTCTATTTCTTTCACCAGGTAGGGGAAGTTTTCTGTCATTATTTCTTCAAATATGTTTTCAATATCTTGCTCTCTCTCATCTCCTTTTGGCACCCCCATAATGCAAATGTTGGTACGCTTGAAGTTGTCCTAGAGGCTCCTTACACTATCTTCATATTTTTGGATTTTTTCCTTTCGCTCTTCTGCTTGGGTGTTTTTTACTTCCTCATATTCTAAATCATTGATTTGATTCTTGGACTCCTCTACTCTACTGTTGAATTCCTGTAAATTATTCTTTACTTCAGTTAGTGTATGCTTAATTTCTGATTGGTCCTTTCTCATGTCTTTGATATTTTCACTAAGATCCTTAAAGTCTCGTGAAGATCCTTGAGTAACCTTATAACCAATGTTTTGAACTCTGTATCCAGTAGTTTGCTTGCTTCCATTTCTCTCATTTGTCACATGTTTCTTTGTCTCCGCATTGTGGCTGCTTCCCTGTGTTTGTTTCTATGTATTGGGTAGAGCTGCTCTGTCTCCTGGAGTTGGTAGAGTGGCCTTGTATAGTAGGTGTCCTGTAGAGCTCCGTGGCTCAGCCTCCCCAGACGCCTGAGCCGGGCACTGTAGGTGCGCCTCTGTGTGGGCTGTGTGTAGTCTTGTAGTTGAGCCTTCATTGCTGTTGGTATCACTGGGAGGAGTTGACCTCCAGGCCAATTGGCTGTGAGGACCAACTGCAGCTACAGTGGGAGAGCTGCTGTGCAGGAAACATCCCTATGGAGCAGGACTTGCTTCAGTGGGGCTTTGGTGCTCACTGAGTCTCCTCTTGAGTGTGTCGCTTGTGGATGTGTAGAGTTGTCATCTGCTGTGGTCTGAAGCTGTCCACTGGGTGCACTGGTTCTAGGGCCTCCAGAGAGGTGCAAAGTCAGCCACTGCCTGGGGCCCCCCTACAGGAGCTATTTGTATTGGACTTGGAGGTGCCCAGGGGAGGCCCAGCTGTGAAGCAAGGGAGGCTGGTGCTAGTGCCGGGTCTTAGGCCTTTTATTGGTAGGTTTGGGGCACGCTGACACCATCTGCCGCTTGTTTGAGATTTTAGCAAAGTTTGAAGCCTGAGCATTCACATGGAAAAGCCGCTGCAAAAAGGTTGGGAGGGGTTGCAAATTGGATGGGGCGGGGTCACAGGGAATCACTAGGGCAGAGCAAACAGTGTGGGCTACGCTGATGAAAACTCAGTAGAGGTCCCAGCACAGGAACAATGACCCCTGTGAGCACCCCCGTCTGGGAGAAAGTCGCCCCTGAGTTCCTGCCCCGATGCCAGACAATCCAGTTCCTCCCATATGTGTTTGGTTCCCCAGAGCCACCACCCAGCGCTGGAGCTCAAAGGAAGCAGGACCTCATATTCGTGCGCCAGACCTTTAAAAGGAACACCTGGGTCTCCAGCAGCCTCTCTGTCACTCAGCCCCAATCCCTGCTGGTTTTTATGACTGTAAATTACGAGGGCTTCTCTTCCC